ATTGTTGGACTATTTTACAACACTGAAAACTATTTGGCTTCATTCTTAAGAGAAAAATCTGCATGTAAGGTCACATGACTTCTTATCTGATCTGCCAATCATAAAGTGACAGAGGTGCCCATCTGTGCAAAGGACAAATAAGTAGAGTAGAGCTGTATTGGTACATCTGTTAGTCGATCGACAGATAAATGATCAACAACTATTATATATTGATTATTGATTTTATCAGTCCATTCTGTGGTTTATGAGGATTTGCTTCGTGTCTTTGTCTTGTTTGATTGTAAGCTCAACCCTGCATTTTATTATATGGTCTGTTGATTGGAAAAAACATCGCTTTGATGACATCCCCTTAGGCTTGAGGTGACTGTGATGGACGTAAATACTTTTTTTGAGAAAATAATTAGTTAGATTAGGAAATCTAAATGTCACATGATGAAAAATAGTGTTGGTTCAATTCAATTACATTATTTTGTATAGCACATAGACTGTATATAAGAGGTGGACATAGTCATCGTGTCCTCACCTGTTGGTTTATGGACTGCTGTTTTCAAACCTCGAGTTCGGCGATTTGGCCGTCGCCATCTTGCCGTTTTTGCAACCAATGAACGTAAGTGATTATTTTGCAGTATAGGCTCTGGTAGCAGCAGCAACCTGTCAATCACAGTGAGCCCGCCCTTAAGCATTCTCCGCTTTATGGTCTGTTTGACTCTAAATGGACCATAATGTACTAAATGAACATCATGCTGTAGTGAAGAAGACTTGAAACTAGAGATTGAGACCATAAACTCATGTTTACAATGTTTACTGAGGTAATAAATCAAGAAAGAAGTAGAGTCATTTTCTCATACACTTCTAAACAACCAGAGGAGTCGCCCCCTGGTGGACACTAGAGAGAATGCAAGTTTAAAACACTTGTGCGTTTGCTTCACTCTTCAGAACTGGAGGTTGACTGATATAGCCCAAAATCAAACTTCAGAAATGTGCCTCACAGGGCTTTACAATGTGTGCAGCATATGACATCCACACTGTCTTTGGACAATTGCATCAAAAAAAAAAACAGAATCCCCCCCCCCCCCAAAAAAAAAAAATTAAAAAAAAAAAAAAAAAAAAACCCCCCCCCCCCCAAAAAAAAACATTTTACAGAAAAAAAAAGTAAGAAACCTTAGTGAGAGCAACAGAGGAGGATCCTCTCCCAGGATGGACAGAAGTGAAATGGATGTCATGTGTACAGAATGAACAACATAATAGAGTTACAACACAATCAATCCATTTGATATAAATTATTCAAATAACGCCCAGATACAAACCACAAGTTCAAAACTTTAACACACACATAAACTGCAATATGACCAAAGAATGAATTAACAGAACTGAATCCTTACATGAATTTTAAAATACCTGACCTCATGACCCCTCTCTCCTGTAGTCCCTTCACCACCCAGACAGCCGCGTGGGCGTCATTTAATCTTCTTCTTCTTGTCCCGGTCTGTTCCTGCTCACTTCCTGCTCACTTCCTGCCCACTCTCTCGCTCTCCTTTCAGCCCCTCGCTGATCATTAACCTCCCTACTTGTCGCACGCCCACGCCGTTCGTCCTGATTTCGTCCTGGCGGCTGGGCGACGGCGCGTCTGCTGTCAAGTCCCTTCACAGAGGCTCTGGAGGGGAGAAATGGATGAGGTCATAATGGAGGGGGGGGGGGTAATGAGAAGGTGTGTAAACTGTGAAACGGACACTTCATGAGCAAATAGTTAACAAAGACATGAAGAGATAAGATTACATTTTATTTACCTCAAGGGTGCAAAGAGTGCAAACATCAAATTGTAAGATAACAACAAGGTGCAAAGAATTTAAGCAAAGCCAGAATCAGGAGAGCAATGGCTGCTGGGAGCCACTTGAACCGGAATTCCTGAATTCTGTTAAGATTTTAAAAAGGTTATGAATAAGATCATATGTTTTCAACATCATCAAACTGTAACAACTCAAGGACACAAAGGGGCAAAGAACACAATTAAACCCAACAATGAGCACAGTAGCAGGTCATTGTTTGGCGCGCTCACAGAAAGAACATTGTGTCGTCGTCAAGGCTACCCCTGCTTCCTGTCCTGCTGGACCGGCAGGGTTTGTCCGTCCAGAAGGCCTCCTGTCTGCCTTAACCTCATTTCTGTAACAGATCAGCTCATTCATTCAATTAGCAAACACACACAAGTGCACTCTCACATGCACATTCTGCCATCAGAAATCCATGGCCTCCCCAATCCAATTGTCGAAAAACCAAACCGATTCCCAAAAGTCTCCGCGATCGGGGCTCCACCGGTCGATAGGAAACCTTTTGATCCTTTAAAAGATCCCTCACATCATGTGAGTCAAACGTGTAGAGAAGAGATACAGTCCGATCAATAATCTTTAAGGTGACGATCGGTGTGGGTGAACCAGGCTGAGAGGTGAACGCAGAAGGAGAGATGAAGCTACAGTCTGTCAGTGCTGCATGTCTACAGCAGAGGGACAGAGAGTCAATCAATCAGCCACAACGGTAGATCGAACTGTCAGAGACGAGCCAACGCGCTGCTTCGGCTCTCTCGGTTCACATTGATGATGCTGTATTTTTACAGGGAGTTGTGGAAAAATCCTCAGAGTTTAGTCAGCCCCGGCTGAGCTCGAAGTAAGAAACCATACAAGCATACGTTTAATGAGGATAATTCCACTTCATTACAACTCTATATTTGTAGGTTTGGCCAGCAGCAAAACTTTATTTTTCTGGGATCCAATTTTTTAAGAATGACAAAACCACGTCTCATTAGGCCTCATCTATAAATGGTGAGGAGAGCGAACGTGTGCGTAAATGAACGTTCTGTGTTTTACTTTAATTTCCACATCAGCATATAGCGTCTTGGATGGTAAAGCAGCTCTGTAGCTTTGATACATCGTACCTTTGTTGATGCTTATGAAATCATACACATTTGTTGAATATTTTATAAGAATTAACAGGCTCATTATTTTCATTTCCTCTCAACAGTTAAACAATATACATATAGGCAGAGTTTTTTATTTATTTAAATACATAGAATGTAAGCTACCCTTTTGTATCACATTCAATGTTAGAGGCTATCAGAGCAATAGGAACGTTCCCTCGTGTGGCTCACAGGTGTACAGCGGATATAAACGTTACGTAGAAGACGATGGAAGACATTCTGCAGATTTTTTTGGTGACCCCAAATAAAATCTCCTGCGACCCACCTGTTGACCCCGACCCAGTCTTTGGTAACGTCCGTCCTAAAAGTCCTAAAAAACTCAGTTTGATGCCTTTGTTTTTCTTCAGTATATCTTTCATGGTCCATTCATCGACGCTCACAGCTACATGGTCATGTATATGTGCAGTATAAACGTAGGCTCCATAGTTTAAATAAATCAAGTGCACTGTTTGATTCTCAGACTAGATCAGAAACGATTCTTTGGGCCTCCTCAGTGCCTGTAGTCCCAATAAGGTCCCCACAAAGGTTCATCTATGACCCACGTTCACAACACATCTTCATGTGCAGTGCAAGAGTATACGCAGGAAATGTGTGCCTCCAGTTTGTATTTTTTGGAACCTTGTGTTGACATTGACTTATTTCATCGTTTGGGCTCCCACAGACCCCATAGTGAATAATTATAACAAAATCAAACTATTGTTTAAAAATATGATTTCCTTCTGACCTAATTAGAACCCAATATGTACAAATCATTGAGGCGGTAACTCTTTCCTTTGTCAAAAACTGGACTTCAAGTTTTGATGAAGAAATGAGCTGAAAGCATTGTAAACACACTAAACAGAGACGTATTCCATGTCTGATATGTTATGAGCTATATGAACAAGGAAAGGAAACGCTCAGCATGTTATCCTACAGAGTTTGGCTTCATCCTGTTAAAGCTTGTATGAGCTTTTAGGAACATAAATCCTACATTTGGGTATTTAAGGAGGAGCAGTGCCGTGTGAAATCTACTGTGGGCTATCAGGTTATGAATAATCCTCTTCCATGAGGAATAGTCATTAAACAATGTTATTTTGGAGCTGTTAAAAACAACACATCACTCCGCAGTCATTCCAGCAGCATCATGACAGTAATACTGCCGGACAGGGAGATGTGTTTGGGGACCTGCAGCAGCAGTGTTACAGGAGTTATACTAAAGAACATCAGTTTTCTGGGAGTTCTTCTGCAGAGAGGTCTGGAAGCAGCGGGCCGGCTCAAACAGCTCCTCTTCTGTTCTCTCTCTCTCTCTCTCTCTCTCTGTTCTGACAGATCCGCGGTCATATCAGATTGATGGGCCCGTTTGATTGAAGTCCCTTTGTCGCGCTAATGTCACGGCGAGTGATGGATGAGGCGCGTGCGCCGGGGCAAACACGCGCGCGCGCAACAACTATACACTCCTGAACCGAAAAGTCCCCCCACTTCCCTTACATACACATGCCCCCCCCTCATCCCCCGTTTTCTGTGACCGGCTGACAAACTTCTGTCCTCCGGTCACCACAGGCGACGTGACGATGAGCCACGTGACCTGCGGCGGAGGTAAGAACGACAGTCGTGGGGGGAGAGGAGAAGCGGAGAAATAGGTCAAAACAGAATGGAGGAGAACGGAGTGTGACCTGCGCGGAGGTGAAAGAGGTGACTCGACTCTTTTCCGTCTTCTCGCGGTGTTTCGCCGCCGTCACCGACGGAGACACGCGGGTTTAGATGAGCCGTTGACAGCGTAAAGGCCTCTCGTTTACGCACACAAGCGCACCACGGCAGAGCGCGTGACTCGCGTGTGCTTCCAATTTATTTTACTCCACTTTGGGAGTTTCTGCTATTTGTTTTCATAATTTTTGCTGAACTATTTTACAGAACTATTTTTCTTTTATTGTGAAGTTTTTTTCTTTATTTTTTTTGTGTGATTTTGTCGTTTGTTGATGTTAATTCTAACTCGATTCTGTTAACTTCATCTGTGAGCTCCTGTTTCTTGCTCATTTTAAACGCCGCTGTCTGCATGGACAACATGAACTCGTTTGTGGAGTACTCCATTTGTAACCGACCGGGGACCGGCGCTTATGCTGCCCCGAAATCCGGTTACAACCATTATCATCACCATCTGCATCACCATCCTCTGGAGCAGCATCAGGGCTTTCCGGTGACCTCCGGCTCCTTCCACTCGGGGCCCACCGGCTCTTCGGCTCCCGTTAAAGAGACGAGAGGTGAGAGCGGCGTCGGAGGAACGACTTACACCGGGGATGCGCGACTGTACGTGGGCTCTGGAGCGCACGGGACGACCCAACAGCAGCAGCAGCAGCATCAGCAACATCATCATGACCAGCACCAGCAGACGCACAACGGCTACCATCATCAACTTCACCCAACCCAGAGCTTACAAAGTGGAACACTGTCTGCCTACAATAACGGGAATAGCGGCAGTACCGGGGCTTATGCAGGTCAGGCGTGCGCCACAAACCCGGAGTATTCTAACGCGGTAGGCCCTCCCAACACCGTTCACCCCCAGTATTTCATAGAGGAGCCCGTGGCCTCCACCTACTATCATCAATCAACCTTCCCCAGCTTGGCCTCCACCGTCGGCCCCAGCTACGGGGCCCTGGCCGGGGCCTACTGCGGGCCTCAGGGCGCTCTGGCCGGCCCACAGTACCCGCAGCAGCTGAGCGGGGGTCTGGACGCAGCGGGCTACCTGGGGCTTCAACACGGGGGAGGTTACGGGGAGCTGCCGGTCTCCCAGGACCGAGAGAGGGGAGAAGAGGAGGGCCAGCAGACCGGGCAAGGACAGACCTTCGACTGGATGAAGGTGAAGAGGAACCCGCCTAAAACAGGTATGGATGGGCGGGTGATTTTGCTGGAGATAAGCGGTCAGTTACAGTTACAGCACTATAGAGGCAGTAGCCTCGTTTGCATTCATCAAAGCTGTCACGACATATGAAATGTGGTGGACAATAAATATCTAAAGGAAGCTTTTAAAAAATGTTTTATGTTAAGCTGAAATGAGAGGAAAAAATGTGGCCTATAGTCAGCAATAAAATGTGAAAAATAACATTTAGGGGGAACAGCTAATTAAACTGATTGCATTTAATTGTAACAACACGAGCGTATACGTTTCTCTGAAGAATAACGAAATTATTATCAGTAATGTATTTTTTATTCTATTTCCTGCAGGCCTCAGTTTTCAATGTATCTGTACACAGATGTCAGGCTTTTCTAATGTAAATGTCACTTACAGTCTGTTCTCGTTCCACTGAAGTCTCAATTCGTTTCACGGTAAACCAATGGGACATTAAGAAAAAAAGAAAAGCTCCATCGATGTATTTATTTACTTTTATTTATATTTTTTGTGGTTGTCCAACATCAATAGGTCACATACACTGTATTTAGAAACAACGGGATCTATCATAATAATGAGTATTGTGGTTTAATTTCACAGATCTTTCAACCACAATAAAACGTTTCTGGCATATTTCACTAATAACAACCGCGAAGGTTTCATTTCCATTGTAAACACACATTTGCTCTCCAATAAATGAAAACAATTCATTATTATTTTAAATGACCAATTTGTTGCTGAATATTGTTCAAGTAAAAAATAAAATGCCTATGGATTATTCTTATATGTATTGCTCGTGATATTCCTCATGGAACACCGCGAAACGTTTCACTTCTCATTGTGACGTCAACTTGACTACTCGCACTTCATATACAAAAACGGTGTTTGTGTGTTTTCAGGACTTATTCAGTCTGCAGTCATATCTTAGGCCAGATAGCAGGTCTGGTCCGGGTCCACGGAGGCCCCCCGACGTCTGATAGGGGTTTCTCCTCTCTCTCTTTCTCTCTTAATGGACATAGCAGACGGGCAGACGGTTACTTCACCCTAGGAAGTCTGACCTGCTCTGTTATCTTTTACCCCCCTCCTCCATTACACCCCACCTCTCCATCCCTCTGCACGTCTGCTCGCGCCCCCCCCCCCCCTTATTTTGCTGTAACATTAGGATTAGCAGATAAAGACACACACTGATCACTATACAACCTACAGTCTGGATTGAACTAGCCTGATTAGTAAACTAAATACATAAATAGATATTAATACATAAAAACATTACCACAAATCATACAACAACAAAAATGAACGAAAAAAAGTATAGGGGCCTATAGGCAATAGTTTACTTCCTGATTCTATTCAACGTGAAAGGCATGCCGGGTAAAATAAAACAGCAGCTCCCAAACATGGACACATTTAATTTATACGGTCGGAACTCTTTGTTCTCTGTATTCTTAACATGAACATCTAAACTTTATTAATTATGTAAATGAAATGAATTCATATAACACATTAATAACATCCTCTCTCTCTCCTCCACCCAGCGAAAGTGACGGACTTCGGCCTCGCGGGAGCGCACAACAACGCCATGCGCACAAACTTCAGCACGCGGCAGCTCACGGAGCTGGAGAAGGAGTTCCACTTCAGTAAGTACCTGACGCGGGCGCGGCGCGTGGAGATCGCCGCCACGCTCGAGCTCAACGAGACGCAGGTGAAGATCTGGTTCCAGAACCGGCGCATGAAGCAGAAGAAGCGCGAGCGGGAGGGCGCCACCGCCACGGCGCGCTCCTCTTCCTCCTCCTCCTCCTCTGGGGCCGACGGAGGCTTCAACAAGGACCCGGACGACACCGATCACTCCTCCGCGTCCACGTCTCCGGGCGCGTCCCCGAGCTCGGAGACGTAGTCCGCACGAGCGATGTGACTGGTTTGGCAGAATCTGCGGTGTTGCACTATGGGATGTTATCTGTGGTTAAGTCGTCAGCACCTACGCATTGGTTACTGACTTCCTACATGTCCCAGAATTCCTTTTTATAATCCCATCCAGCACCTGGAGGAGATCTGGAGAAACTTGATCAAGCCTTTCTGGTATATTTACTGCTCGGTCAGTTGTTTTTATACAGAGAATAACACGTGTTTCCTTCAAATACATGAACTACAGTTACTTGTTGAGGAGTCAAAAAGCACTACAGCTGATTCTGAGCCCACAGTAGTTGATGTTTTGACCTCAAGGGCTGCACTGATGCAACAAAGGGGACCAACACCAGGCAACCAACATGAGCGCACATATGGCTGATAATGACTGCCGATGCAAAATGCCCCAACTGGAGGAAAGTCTGAGTAATAACAATAATAATGAAGAAGTCAGATAAAGCTCCGGCCACTTTATCTGGGATGTCAAGTAGGTGACATTGTCCAGTGGAACTCTGCAGCTTCTTCCAAACCAAACCAAAAGCCACATTCTCACACAGGACCACGTATTTCATACTTCAGAACGGAAACAAACAAGTTGCAGTGGTTCCCAACTTGGGGTTTGGGACCCCGTCATAGGGTCCAAAGATAAGTCTGCAGGGTCGCGATGTATAATTAAAGGAAAGAAAAAACAAATTTGGTTAAACAAAATGATTAGTGTTACTGCTTTTTTTTAAAAGTATGGAATATGTTTACATCTTTAGGCCTCTATACATCTTTATAATGAACAATCTGGGAAGGAAAATGAACCCACTGGCTAAACTAAACACAATGCATGTGTTCTCTAGGGCCATACATAACCTCTGCAGCGGTTAAAAGGTGCTGAATTAATATAGCCGCAAACAACTATTTGCTGTATGAAGATATGTCTACCTGAGCGAGAATGAATTCTCTCCCCCTCTGTGTGTTATCTGAACTTCTCCGTGCTTTGTGTACATAGCCGGGCCGTCTGCTCGTGCATTTAGTGCACGTGAGTCCTAGTGAGCGTGCCCCACTGGCTAAGCTAACAGCCTCGTCTTTGAACTGCGCTCATACGGCGGTTACCGCTGACAACGCCGTCCCTACCGCCACTGTCCCCCCCCCCCCCAAAGTTGAACACCGTTGCCTTTGTTTGCACCGTTTGAGCTGTTAGGACTGTCAGCTGGCGGCTCAGCCGTCGCCATGTTGAGAGCCGAGTGGACGCAATCCCCTCATCATAGGTATGCTCTGAATCTGTAATTGAACACCTTTAACTTTGTGGTAAATGTTGGTCACCACTGCCCCAATGGACCTCTGGTGCAGCAAATGTCATGACAGCGTGGATCACACGTCTCGTCTCTGTCCAAACTGGGATAATCAAAAACCTTCAGGAGCCGTATTCTCAAACTCTCTCACTGGTGAAGAAGCTGCTGTGGTGCTAAAAGGTTTGCTGAACAGATTGTTGGACTAAAACCTTTTGAGAGTCCTGATGTTTAGACACCCACATATATTTTTGAGATGATCTACTTTTCATGTGACGGTAGATGAACATAGAGTCTGGTGTACCGGGTAATGATGACGATGATGGTGGTGGGATGCACTTTGCCATCTTTATATAATGTCTGATTCACAGGGTTGAACTGGTATTGGGTTATTTAAGGTGGATCATACGTTGTTTCTGCTTTTTTTTGTTTTACATTTTTGACGGTTTTAATATTTTTTGCCACTGTTGTTTTTGTAAAAACAAACCCCATGAGGACCATCATGGGATGCTAAAACCCCACTGAAAGCCTTCGTGATTGATGTCAATGGGAAGAAACTCAGGGATACACAGCTGTGCTGACATGACCACTTCACATACAAAACCCTTAATTTATGATATAAAACATGTCGAGCTTTGGTCCATCTTTAACCCATATACCAGTGTGAGTCCAGCCTAACTAAACGAGCCTGAGGATCAGGAATACAGGGAGCCTCTGATGGCAAAAACACGCCTATGTCTTATGTGCTTGAAGCTATTTTTGTTCCACTTTTAGAACCTTTAAAAATGTATATTTGAACATGTGAAGCGTCATACCGTGTGTTCGTCTCACCCCGTGCAGCTCTGGCCTTTGCACTGTGTGACTACAGGGTACCTTTGCAGAAAAACTGCTTGAATTCATACATTAATCTGGAATATTCGTTCAGTTTCTATGTATGGTGATTCACAGGATTGTGTCTTGAACATGTTAGTTAGACTCAGGGTCTAATTTGGGGTGTGTGTGTATGTGTGTGTGTGTGTGTGTGTGTGTGTGTGTGTGTGTGCCAATGGGGGAGGGGTGATTAAAGAAAACTACTGAAAAGAAAGGCTGAAGCCTGATAAGACACACTCGTCTCCTTGCTGAATGGGAAAAGTGGGGGAAATAATGTTTTAATGCCGGTCCTTTCCCCCGTGAGAATTATTTATTGGATGCATTTTATGTTATTGATTAAAGATGATGGGAAATAAGGTGTTTGTCTGTGAAGGGGGTGTTCTCCACGTGGACATCTTTTTTGTTCCTGCTGAAGGCCGTGATACATAAAACCTGACAAAATGACTTCATGTGAATAGTTCTACTCTGAAATAGATCTAGTAAACATCACAGGAGTAAATCTCGTCGTGTGTAATGTTGTCGGGTTAAAGGCCGGCCTCTACTGTGATCTTTTTCTTTTTTATATTGTTGTCTGTTGTTTTGAAATGAGAGCAGACTGACTGAGTTTTATCAGTTCTGCTGCCTGAGAGACTCCCAATCATGTTCCTGTCTGTCCTTTTCTAAGCTACCTCAATTAAAGACTCTTCTGTCAAACTGCTGCTATTGCACTCTTGACGATGTTTTCTTTACACTGACCATGAACTGTTTTGTATGATATAAATCCATTCATTCACAAATTGCAGAGATTTGAAAGCAGTGCTACAGGAACCAGTGGGCTGGGAACTCAAAGCCAGAGAAAGGAAATCAAAGTAACGCAGCGCATCCTCATACGATGGTTAGTTTGATATCTGTGCAGTTACTCCTCATATTTCGTGCGTTTTTCCTACGAAAGTCAAGCAACGTGTGATAATTTACGCTCGTTATGGCCTTTTCAAAATAGACTTTCGTCCTCCTAGGAAACAACTCCGTTGTTATCGTATCCCCATACAGCGCTTTGTACGATATCTTACGATAAGTTATCTATCCTCAGAATCTTTTTCAATGTGCTGCTTTCAAAAAAAGTGTATTTTTTCAAAATAAACTTCTTTACTTCAATAAACATCTTCACAGGAAAATACTCAGTCAGGTTCAGGCAACAAAACTACTTAGTTAAGTTAACTATGAAAGTGTCGTAACTACATTACACAAGTTGACTTCTCGTCTCACACGGGAATGGAACAGCGGTCTCTTGGTTGAAAGACTTTTTGTCGGATTCATCCACCCCCTCCCACTCAGTGTGGGCTTGTGCTGTCTTCATACTTCCTCGGTCACGATTACATGGATAATGTAGAAAATAATTTTGTAACAAAACTATTAGTTAAGTTTAGGGAAAGATCATTGTTTCGGTTGTGATAACTACGAAACTTACTTAATTACGGAAGTTATGTTGTGTTCCTGTTTCACGCGGCGCATGAATATCGGTCTCCAGGGTGAAACAACAACCGTCTTTTGTTTGACGGAAAAGGAAAAGGAGATTAAAGAAACACGGCATCCAGAGAACTTCATGCATTTCAATAAGCATTCAGGTCTCTCGCATCCACATGGCCGCATGCCCTCTGGTTGACCCACACATGCACATGCAGGGCTACAGTGAGGAATGTAGCGGGGCTTTCCGGGTGGCTCGGCGACCTGTTGACCTTTGGAGAGCCTCTGGCATATCTAAACATGTAAACACACTCCTCCTCCTCATCTTCATCTCCTTCTCCTCTCTGCCAGACTGAAGGTATCTGTCCTGGAGCCTGGGTGGCAAGCTCAGTCACCACCTGATCACACACACCAAATGCAAACCTCCCTTAGATCCTCCTCCTCAGTCACACCTCATCCTGTGCACTACGTTGCAATAGTTGTTTTCAGATTATTTGGTCAAAGAGTTTATTTTTAAAAAACAACCTCATCTTCGACTGCAATTAGTAGTATTCTACGTTCCCTAATATCCACCAGGAACCAGTTTTCCGCTGTGATTTAGACCCGTACTTTCCCGCTCTCTGCTGGTCTGACCGGATGTAGACTGTGGGTATAAGCAGCGTTGGGTAATGTTACTTTAAAAATAAAATGAAGTCATCAGTTTTGTGTTACCAAAAAGCAAAACCCCTTGCTATTCCATGCGCATGTTGGTTGTATGGTCCAGAGGGCACGTAGCCCACACGTAGGCTATACCTGCTGAACCTATTGAAACGTCACAGCCTCGTCTGCTGCATCAGGGCCCTGCCGGTACTATCAGGTCATCTGAGATTCATTTGCAATTAAACAAATAAAAACAACCCCAAAAACATGGAAATGTTCCTCTTTTCTCCTTTTTGTTGACAGAAACAATCAACAATAAACCCAAATAAAAAATAAATATCTGTGTAAAAACGTTTTTCTGTTATTAAAATTAGAACGGAAAAAATGCACCAAAAAGCTAAACGGAAAAACAGAAGAGGTCGTTTCATTTGTCATTGATCAGGGTCCAGTGACGGATCAACTTGGCGGGGGAGGGACGGACAATAGTCTTTTTTTCTGTTCTGCGAGACTGTTCCCTTCATGTTCCGCTTCATAGAGATTTTTATTTATGCTCCTACGGAGAGAGATACTCGTTAATATCGGTAGCATCTCCTCCACCATGTAACCGCCTACATGCGTATTTATTTCCCTCGGAGTGACAGCTCGAGAGCTGAACTAAAAGCTTCTTGTCTCATCGTTCTTCTCCTTAATGTGCCTCAGCGTCCACCAGTCTTCTTCTTTAAATCTCAATTAGACCTCTTAAAGCTGACAGACACTTGTCCAC